TTTTTTTTTTTTTCATGCTGAAGTTTAGACTCAATGCATGCTAAGAAAGTATTTTACCATGGAATTAATAACCCCTGGACCTTTTTAAATTTTCTGTTTTGAGTCAGAGTCTCACTAAATTTTAGGCTGGCTTAAAACTGGTAGTCTTCTCAGTCTTCTAGTCAGCTGTGGTTACAGATGTGACCAGCATACCTAGCTGCTAGTCATTGATTAGTGCCACCTCTGTTGATTACAATGCCCTACACCTGCTGTCACATATGTGCTCTCTACAGTCTACCACAGTGGCAACCTTGCTTTTCTCAGAAATACTAAAAATTGGTATTTTCTCTTGGCTTATTTTAAGATACCTTTTAATAAGTGTAATTAAATGAGGCTTGGCATGGTAATAGATAAAATGATAGTGCCAATGGTGATTCTTAAGATGGTTTAAAAGTTATAAGATCTGGTTTTATATTTTTTTTTCATTGTAGCCATTTTTCCACCTCGAATTCTATCTACTCGACCAGGACAAAAAAGTTCAATTATTATGCATGATGATAATTCCTCTGACAGAGATAGAGAAGACAGCATCACTTACACCACTGTGGACTGGAGAGACTTTATGTGTAACACATGGCATCTGGAGCCTACTCTTAGGTAAGAAGTGGGTGTGCACACCTCAGCATGTCCAGAGTTATTGCACTAGTTGTTATTCCCATTGCTGTGACCAAATGCTTGACAAGAGGCTGAAGGGAAGGTTTATTTTGGCTTATAGTTTAAGAGGGATACAGTCCATCCTGATGGCACAACATGAGACAGCTGGTAATAGTGTATCACAATCAGAACTAGAGAAGTGACAGGAAGTGGGTCCAGTCTATAACACCTCAAAGCCTGCCCCTAGTGACCCACACTTTCTAAAGGCTCCACAACCTTCAGCAGTGCCACCCATGGAGACATTCACCTTCAAAAGTTTTCATACTCCCAACCCTGTTTAATAGTCCAAAATCTCTTGAGATTTAAGGCAGTCTCTTAACTGTGAACCACTGTTGATACTTCCATTATACAATGACACAGAGTAAATCTTCCCCATTACATATGGAGGGATGAGGACATAACAAGGAAAGATTGGGCCAAAACAGTACTGAAACCCAGCAGGGCAGAAATCAGGTCTCCAAAGGTCTTTAGTGGCTCTACTCTTTCAGCTCGGCCTCCTGCAACACATGTACCCTCTCTCTTGGGCCAGTTCTCCATGCCTACAGCTTTGCTCAGGAGACATCCCATGATCCTGGCATCTCCATTATCCAGGTTTTCCTCCTCTACTTGTACTCCACTTTCACAGCTTCATGCAGTAAGTTCTTGGTGCTTCTAGGCAGAGCCTCTGATACTGCTACATGTTGTCTGAGGCTTCAGTAGCCTCAGGAACCTTGGCACAAACCTCTATGATCCCCCTATCCTTGTATCATGCTTACCTATAAAACCAGTACCATGTAGACAGTACTGCCAGGTTCTGCTGCAAGCTGAAAATGTAGCCTACCGCTTTGGACAGGAATCAGGCTCTATATACTGGCCCATGGAGAAACATCCTAGGCAATTGTTCTCCTACTAGGGAACCCCTTTGGCAACATTCTCAGTTGGAGCTCTCTCCTTATGAATGAATTTGCATTTTCACAAGATGGAACTTCTGATGGGTGAGGTCTTGCCAGGGTGCCTTTCCAATTACTCCATTGCAGACCACAATAGTGTTAATCTCTTTACAGCCATTTTCATAACACTAGTCATAGTACAATTTTAAACTTATTCTTTCTCTATCTAACTGATGATTTCTCTTATCTTCTCCATTTGTTGCTTACTCTTACAATAGACCTGGTAAGAGTAGCCTGAATACTATTCTGCTATAATATTTCCTCCATCAAACATATCAGTCTGTTACTTTTCAGTCCCACTCAAGTTCTCAGAACATAAACAGAATGCAGCCAAATTCTTGGTAAGAATGTAGGAAGAATAGCCTCCAGCCCAGTTCCTACCAATCCTTTTCCCCCTCATGAGCTAGACCTTCACTGTCCACTTTTTCTTTTTCCATTGAATTCTACACTTCGCCCATTAAACTCTGCTTGTAGCGTTGAAGGACTTTTTCAACCCAAAGTTCCAAACTCTTCCACTTCCTCTAGTAAAAGGCTCAAGAACCACATGGTTAAGATTATCACAGCAGCAGCCCCATTCTCAGTACTAATTTTATGTATTAGTCATTTTTCCCATTACTATGACCGTACCCAACAAGCAGTAACTTAAGTAGGAAAGGGAAGGCCTGAGAAGGGCATGAGGCATCCATAGTCAGGAAGCAAAGAACAAATAGGAAATAGAGCAGAACTGTAAAACTCAAGCCTACCCATAGCCCCCTACATCCCAGCTTCATTCCTAAAGGTTTCATAGTCTCCCTAAACAGTGCCACCATCTGGGGACTGAGTGTTGAAACACATGAGCCTATGAGGAACATTTCATAGTCAAATTACAATAGATACTGTGAGGAAAGTTATGAGTATCTTATGTAGATTAATTGTGGTTACCTAGAGTAAATTTACAGTCAGTCACAGGTAATTTTTCATCTTTGGCTGCTATTCTGCACTTCATTTTGCTTTTGTAAGGTTCCCTAGGTGAAGCAAATACATTGAGAGCAGCTCAGCTGCCATGATCTGCCAGTGTTGTCATTTCTTGATCAATCGCTAGATGAGAGTAACTCCTTATGCTGTTGTCTTTCTTCACCTTCTGTCGAGGACCTTGCTTTTAAGTTTAGATAGCCACAGTAACAAGACCCATTAGTTGTCTTAGTTAGGGTTTCTCTTACTGCAGCAAAATACCATAACCAAAAAGCAAGTTGGGGAGGAAAGTGGTTATTTGGTTAACACTTTCATATTATTCATCACTGTTCATCACTGAAGGAAGTCAGGACAAGAACTCCAATAGGGCAGGATCTTGGAGCAGGAGCGGATGCAGAGGCCATGGAGGGGAGCTGTTTACTGGCTTGCTCCCTGTACCTTGCTCAGCCTGCAAATAGAACCCAGGACCAGGAGCCCAGGAATGGCACCACCTACTATGGGCTGGGCCCTCCCCAATTTGTTCACTAAATGAGAAAATACTTTACAGCTGGATCTCAAGACATTTCCTCAGCTGATGACTCTAGCTTGTGTCAAGTTGACACACAAAACCAGCCAGTACAGTAATCATACATCATTAATAAGGAGCCATCAGAGTTTCCTACAGGATATATGTTATGACAGTTCCACAGTGTCACTGTGTCTTCTTTTTGCACATTAAACGATATAAAACTATGCCTACAATGCTGAACTTAATGCTATCAGATAATAGTTTCTTTTCATTTTTTTAAATTAAAAATGGTCACATTTTTCCAGTCATGACATATCAACTACTTTTCATACCAAATCTTCAAATATATTTTCTAATAGTCATTATAGTGGTTGTTATAATTAGTGGTACCTGCTTTGTATATTGTTGGTGATTAACATTCTTTCTGTTGTTTCTCATCTGCTTTGTTATTCAAAACTTTCCAAATCTTTGGATGGTATCCAAAAATGGACTCTAGCCCAATATTCTGCAAGATAATATATTTAAATTAAGTGATTATTCAGACATATTTGTATCACAACATAACTCCAAAACAACAAAATTTTATCTTGTACAGATATGGCTTGTTAGTAATGTATATTCAATAAAATTTGCCTTAACTAAATCAACAGAACATTTTGTTATGAGAAATCTTAACATTGCTATTACTTGGGCCAACATAAGTATTTTTCAGGGTACAAATGCAGTAAAATATTTGGAAGATACATTTTAGATTTGTAAATCTAAATTATAATGGAACTAAATGTCTTCAGAGTGTATTTAAATTGACTATGAATGAAATTTCAAGTGAATATAAAGTTACTATAATCTGTTTTCAACAAACTCATGACTAAAGGATGAATAGTATAGAATACTAAAGAATATTGTTACCAGATCTGGCTCCAAGCTTGGCTTTACCACAGAGCAATTCAGTAGTCAAGTCTAAAAGACCTTCCTTCTTTTCCTTCTATAGTTTCCTCATGAAACTTTTGAAAAAATGGTACTACCTACCTGTGTACTCACCTAGCTGTAGGCCTGGGAATAACCTTTTTCAAGCCCTTGAAATGAGGAAGGGACAGACCAATATGAGTAGCCTCCCCCCCACCACCCAAAAAAAATTCAGGAAGTACTTAATATACCACTCAGTTCTTCTATTAACTTTACCAGTCAGATAAATCTTCAGTATAGACTGAAAGTCCAAGAAGTGAGTCACCAGTAGCCTGTCCTCCTCATGAAAGGAAATGTCAAGATCAAGGAGAAAATGGTTCTTTTTTCAAACATGTTGAGCACATATCACTCAGCAAATTTTAACTTTTCTCTTATTACAACCACATGCTTATGAAATCTTTTAACCAGTTGTCCTTTTAAATATGTAATTTTAAATGACCATGTAACAGGCCTGAAATAAATTTAGTACACTGGAATTCCATCAATATTATTGCTGTATGTAGTATGTCAAAGACTTATCATCACCAATAAGTTATTTTCAGAAAACTATTACAGTGGATCTGAGGCTTTTAGATCCAAGTATTCAAATATATCTGCTGAAGTATTTACCCAGACTATATATTAAAGGGAATGCAATAATGTTCATGGACCTACCCTCAGGACTATGCAATTGCATCATATGCCTTAACAATGACCATTTCTAATTACTATTTTAGATTAATTTCTTGGACTGGAAGAAAGATTGATCCAGTAGGTGTTGATTATATTCTTCAAAAATTGGGCTTTCACCATGCCAGGACCACTATTCCCAAATGGCTTCAGAGAGGAGTGATGGACCCACTGGACAAGGTGTTGTCCGTTCTCATCAAAAAACTTGGCACTGCACTGCAAGATGAAAAGGAAAAGAAAGGAAAAGACAAAGAAGAACACTAGAATAGTAGCTTGATCTGTGAAAAACCTGATTGTGTCCGTTAAGTTTTATTACACTGGATTTTTTTTTCAGCATAACTTTAAATATTACTTTAAAATATTTCTAATTTTGTGGCCATTATTGTAACAGTTTGTAAGTTAATCTGTTTATTCTAGTTCTACCATTCTGTATACAATAAAGTATTGCATGAAAATATAAATTTTGTGGAAAATTACATTAAAATATACACATAAAATTTATGATTGTTTTATGTGCAATATGATTCTGCATTTAAAATATTTGCAGAGTAACTGTGAATTTTTTTGTTATTGGCCATAACTTTTAGAAAAAAATCTTGTTGATAATGTGATTGGGGGGTCATTTATTTTTTTTATGTAGACTTGTATAAATATCTATTTGTATATAATTTGAGTAATTGTGATGATTGTATACCACAAAAATATTGTTTGTAACTATTGTAATAAAGTCACAATAATGGCTTCAGTTCATGGTTGGTTGTTTCTTTTTCTCGTTTACTAGTTTGTTAATGTGTATGTGCTCCTGTTTCACAGTTACCATATGTTTTTGTAGATAGTATGTGTAAAAAATTTAAATGCATAAATGTACTTAATAAAAATAGTTCCAGGAAAAAGGTTTCAGAGGTTTCAGAGCCCTTCTATATTGTTCTTTTCTGCTGGTGAGTACACAGATGCTCATTTTTATAATTACACTTTATTTAATCATGTGTATGTATGTAACCCTTTATGCTTATAAGGTATAAATGTTACATAATATACATGTATGTCTAATGTACATTTGTGAAAAACACTAGTACATGTGTAGGCATACTAAAAATAATTTAAAAGAATTATAGTATCTAAAATAATCCTCCAGTCCTCAGTGTATCTAAATAAATAAATATTCAAAAGTAGGTATATTGTTGATTACTCAGGTTGGAAATTTGGCCAAGTCAGGACAATCTAAAGGTTAGGCATACAGCAGAACTGAAGAAACTGCAAGGAAACTTCTGGTAGGCCTTTGCATAAAGATGAGTGTTAATAATAGAACAAACCTCCAGAAAAGCCACATGCTCACTCACAGGACTACGTCTAGTAAACAGTGATAAAGGGGAACTAACTGTTGGCATCAGTTCTTTATCCTTTTGCCATCTCATTGTGTAACTGGCTTGGCAGAAATGAAGATACTCAGAAATGACACTTGTGCTTTACAATTTGGCTCACTCACTATTGAAAAGATAGATCTCAGGGAATTGGAATTTCTCCAGAAAAATCTCATGTTGAGAGAAATCCTAAGGCCTGAGATAGACAGAAAGGAAACTTCTCCTGGAAAGAGATTTTCAACTTGACAGACCCCCCTTGCAGGAGGATAGAGCCAAATGATTGGTCCAGGACTGTTTAGCCACACTTCAGGACCCAGAAGGTACACTTGGGGGTGTGGTTGGATCTTTGTCCCCCTTCCCTCTGTGACTACAGGGAATAAAATTGCTTTTTCTTTCCTTTCACTGTTGATTTGGGTCTTTTAATCAGCTTATCAAGGACAGGTAGCCAAACATGGCTTGTTGGGACACAGACTGTTGACACTAAGTCCAATAACAGTCTGTCATATGTCAACCTCTGAATACTCTCTAGTACCCCCAACAACTGGTCCCCAGAGGTATCTTTGAAATATTTTATTAATCAAGCTTACTAGAGAAGCACATTATGTACCTATTTTGGTTATAAAGGCTAAGAAAATACTACCAGAAAGTTAATTCTAACAACAAAAATCAACTAGTTTCCCATTTGGTCCCATTTTAAATATATATCGTTTAGGTTTAAATAGAGGGCAAGAGTTATACCTCTCTTAAGAGTTCTGGAAAAGTGTAGTCCCACTTATCATTGACCATCATCTTTCCTGAAAGATGATATGACAAGTTATCTTGGCACTGAAATCCCAGTCCCTTTCCACTCTTTCTCTAGGCATGATTCCTAGGGCAGATTCCAGTTCCCTGGGTGCCTTGTTTTACATTCTGATGGGAGGTTCACAAATATCCTTTTGGAATAAGGAAGTCCTCATAACTCCCAGATGTTGAGAGATGTTTCTGTTTTTAGTAAAGTGCTATTGAAAAGCACCGAAAAGAACAACTGCTGTCAATATGACAACCCCTGTATCTCTGTGGGAACAGTGCTAGAAAGTGGCAGCTACAAAGTTTGAACTCAGAATAAATGCAAGTTTAAAGGGGAATGTTGTTTTGTATATCTAGTGCTGCTGGCTAGAGTGTTTAGTATTGTGCTAAACATTCATTTCTGATGTTTTGCTAGCATATATTTTTCTTCTATAGTGTGTATAAGATTTTCATTATTACTGGTATCAAGGTCATAAATTATGAAATTAACACACACACACACACACACACACACACACACACACACACACACAGTCAGTGGTGACAGAAGCCCAACTCCATGCTGTCACCTGCAGCCTAAGGTGTTCCCTTGCCCTATAGGGACCTAAACTCAGACAAAACCAAGATTCTTGGCCACATTGTTACAGTAGTCTTGGAAAGCATTCATATGTGAAATCCTCAGATAATATTTTTTAAAGTTACTTCAGCTGTCCCTATCACCTCTCCAGAAGACCACCCCTGAATCTGATTCACCTGAATTCATGAGAAGGAGATAGGGAGGAATAATTATCTAATGAGACAATATACTTGACCTTCCCAGAAACTGCTGCCATACCGTTGCTTCCCGATGCTAATCCTGCTTCCCGATGCTAATCCTTCCCAGCTCTGCTAATCCTGCCTCCTTTCAGAGTTACTTGGGAAGTATAAGTCTTCCTTTTCTTTTCAGTATTGATCATCATGCTTTCCTGGACAGTGGGCTTTCTCTTTTCTGAAGCTAACAGTGCTCTTCACGTTCTGCCATGACACATAACTGCTTTTTGTCATCTATCTACTTGCTGACTGACTTCTATTCCCTGTTGTTTTTCTTAAACTACTAAAATTGCCCCCACACTTCCTTCTGGGTCCATTTTTTAAAATTCTTTTATTAATAAACCAGGATCTTATGAAAGGGAACACCAGTTTCCCAGATAATATATAGCATTCAACATGGGGCTTTCCCAAAGTTTCCTGTAACATGGCAACCCAGTCGGAATCTGAGAACAAAACATGTGAGCATATTTCAAGATTCTGGTCTCCCACATCCTTCGTCCGTCACTGCTATTCTCTCAGTTCTGTGGATATGCCTCTTCTTTAAGATTGTTGAGCAAATGGCTTTAAGCCTGCCCTGTCCTTCACCAAGGAGAATCAACACCCCACATGGAGTGGTAATATCATTGTATTTACCTTCTGGGCTTCTGAGACCAGATCAAAGAAGCAAGCAATAGAATAAAGTGTTTCTGGAAGCTTCATATATACCTGATGGAGGAAAGTGTGTGTTCTTGGCAAATTCTCGTGGAAACACCTTTCTTCATAGTGGAGGTCACAAATTTGTAACTGCTTCCAGTTATGTCCCTTTTGACATTACAACACAACATCGTTATCTACAGGGGAGAATAACAATTAATTTTTTTTTAATCACCAAAAATTATCTCAAAACATTTTAAACAAATGATTTTGTGTTGATTGGCATATGTAACTATTCAGGTCTCAAACTTTTGAGACTATCTTTTTCCTGGAAAATAGGTAACTCAGGACATTCACGATCTACTTCACATTGGCTGTTGCCCAAGTATGTTAGTCCAGGGCATGACGGTCCTGTTGCTAATACAGGATTACCTGAAATCTGAAAGTTATGGGTACTTCCTGGTCTGTTTGGGAGTACGTGCTGTCTCTTATAGGTAGAGTTAGAGAATACAAAACTTGAAAATACAAGTTAGTAATGGTTTTGTGATGTGCCCCCTTAAGTTATCAGGAGTGATTCATGAGTACAGCGATCATCATGAACCTAAAGCTAAATTGGAAACAGCAAGAGGCTAAAACCTGGGGTAAATGGTAAGAAGAAAATGAAGATTATGTAACTATGGTATTTGTCCCAAGAGGGGAATAAGACAGAACAGAGATGAGAGAGAGAGATTGTAACAAAGAGAATTGAAAATGGAATGGGGTGGGGGCAAGCATTCCTAAATATTATGAATAGTTTGAAATGTCAGCCAGTTCCCCTATAAACTTATTATGTGAAGAGTAAAGGAGAACAGTTTTGTGTGGGAAATGGTTTTTAAAAAGAGCATTGACATTTTAAAGATCTAAACATCTTAAATAGAATGAATATTAAATGCAAAATTGAGCTGCACAGAGACATTTTGGAAACTATATTTGAGTAGTATCCTTAGAGACAGCTAATGAGTGACTCAGAGAGTCTCGGCTGACTCACAGGCCTTGAGAAAGACAATAGCAAATGCCTGATTTCGTCTATTTTTCTGGTTGTACTTCCTGCCAAACAAATCCTGCAGTATCAGTGACCATATTTTTGTTTGTTTGGTTGGTTGGGGTTTTTGTTTGGTTTTGTTTTTGTTTTTGAGAGAGGGCCTCACTTTGCAATCCAGGCTGGCTTCGAACTTTCACCAATCCCCCTGTCTCAGCCTCCCAACTGCTAAGATAATAGGGATAAGCGACCTGCCCATCGATATCAGGTTGGTTTTTAGTTCCTATCTCTCAGTACAGCTTTCCCCACAGTTCTGATTACACAGGCCTCTTCTATGGTGAAACAGCACTTGCTAACATCAGAAAGCCCAGCCACGTGCGCACCTGTGGAGCATATAGGAGATGGGAGGTCTCAACAGGTCCTTGATGGCGTAAGCATGGAAGACCCAAACTTGGCTTGGTTCATAAGCATGGAAGGGGCCCTCTTGCCTCACTTCTGCCTGAATGGTACTTTCTTGGAGCCTAACTCTAATCAGCAAATGTTGTCTGATACCTCTGCAAAATGGGTAGGCAGGACTGGGCATCCCTGGCCTCTAGGCTAGGAAGGCTCACAATCATCAGAGAATCTGAAATCGCTGATGAGTGGCACCACTGACATGTTCATAATTATAAGAGCACCAGTAAGATGGACAGGCCCTATCAGCATGTGGCATTGGGGCTCTACCTTCAAGGATGAATTGAAATTTTGAGTGCTGGCAAAATAAGCAGTGAATTTCAACCAGAGATGAAGATCCTGAGGAAGAGATGCTGAGGTACCAGTGTTACAGTATGCTCAGAGAATAGTTAATATTCTAACCTAGCCCTGATGCTAAAGATGAGATGGGAATGCAGGGCGAGACATGGGGAGAGGGGTGTGCATAGCTCTCCTAGTATGGCTCATCTTCTCTGCGATTTAGGATTATCCAGTCTCAAGTACAGATCCACCCTGGAAATGGCTATTCTAAATCTGTGATTCAGTTTCTTGGCAAAGTCTTGATCTTCCTGATGAATAACAGTAATCTAAGAAAAGCCTGTGATCCTTCCCAGTTACGGCATCCTTATGTTGCTTATGAGTCTAAGAACTTCCCCTGCCGAGGCC